CGGGGGCTTTAGACCAGCCTGGGCAAGTTGATGAGACTTGTGTCTACAATAAATCATAAAAATTAGCCGGGTATGGTGGTGTGTGTCTATAGATCCAGCTACTTGGAAGGGTGAGGTGGAAGGATCGCCTAAACCCAGCAGGTCAAGGCTGTGGTGGTTGTGAGCGTGCCACTGCACTCCAGCCTGGGCAACAAGAGTCAGATTCCAACTAAAAAAAAAAAAATTGTGGTATTTGTCTGGGTTTTGTAATGTTTGTGCTACTAGTCCATTATTTATTTATTTACTTATTTATTTGAGACAGGATCTCGCTCTGTTGCCTAGACTGGTGCAATAGTAGCTCACTGCAACCTTGACCTTCTGGGCTCAAGCAGTCCTCCTGCCTCAGTCTCCCAAGTAGCTGGGAGTACAGACATGCACCACCACACTCAGCTATTTTTTTTTTTTATTTTTTGAAAGATGAGGTCTCACTATGTTGCCCAAGTTGGTCTTAAACTCCTGGCCTCAAGCAAGCTGGTCTCAAACGCCTGGTCTCAAACTCCTGATCTTCCAAGTAGCTGGAACTACAGGCGCATGCCACCATGCCCAGCTAATTTCTCTTGATTTACTGTAAAGATGAGGTCTCACAAGTTGCCCAGGCTGGTCTCGAATTCGTGGGCTCAGGAAATCCTCTCACCTTGATCTCCCAAACCACTGGGATTCAGGTATGAGCCACTGTACCCAGCCTATTAATAAATTTTTTTTTAAAAAAAGTTTAGGGTTGGGCGTGGTGGCTCATGCCTCTAATCTCAGCACTTTGGGAGGCCGAGGTGAGAGGATTACCTGAGCCCACGGGTTCAAGACCAGCCTGGGCAACTTGGGGAGACCTCATCTCTACAATAAATCAAGAAAAATTAGCCAGGTGTGGTGGCCTGCGCCTGTAGTTCCAGCTACTTTGAAGGCTGAGGTGAAAGGATTGCCTGAGCCCAGCAGGTCGAGGCTGTGGTAGCTGTGAGCATGCCACTGTCCTCCAGGCTGGATGACAGAGTGAAACTCCGACTCAAAAAAAAATTTTTTTTCAGTTTGTTGTGATTTCTTCTCTCATTCTGAATAAATATGTATCTAATTTTAAAATGATTATTTTTCATGTCTTCTTAAAGAGAGCCCTATCAGCTTCAGGCTGCCCCAAACCTGGACATGCTCTACCCCCGGGCTTACTTGGTCACCTGTATAGTGGCAGAGGTGCGCCTCAGAGCCATTGATAGAGTGATCCCCACAACAGGAATGCTGGGGCCTTGGAAAACTGCACCCCGACTTCCACCACACCCCAAGTCAGTCCTGGATAGCTCAGAGATGTTAATACGAATGATAAAAAGACTCCCTACAAATAGGGGCGCACCTTCCTGACCTCAGGGAAAGCGGGCACATAAACAGGACACACCCTCAGCAGAAGAGAAAGGCTTGATCAGTGGGACAATGTTTTTTTGTTAGTGTTGCTTTTGTTTTGTTTGAGTTGGAGTCTCACTCTGTTGCCCGGGCTAGAGTGCAGAGACACAGTCATGGCTACTGCAGCCTTGACCTGCTGGGCTCAGATGATCCTTCTGCCTCAGCCTTTGAAATAGATGGAAACTGAGATGGAACTACAGTCATGCATCACCACACTCAGCAAGTTTTGTTTTTTTTTTTAATTGTAGAGACCAGATCTTGCCATGTTGCCTAGACTGGTCTTGAACCCCTGGGTTCAGGCAATCCTCTCGCCTCTGTCTTCCAAAGTGCTGGGATTACAGACGCTAGCCACTGTGCCTGGCCATTGGGACAATGTGAAAACTGAGAACTTCAAAAGCTACCACTGGGCCGGGCTCGGTGGCTCAGTCTGTAATCCTACGCTTTGGGAGGACGAGGTGAGTGAACTGCCTGAGCCCGCGGGTTCGAGACCCGCCTGGGCAACTTGGCGAGACTTCATCTCTACAATAAATCAAAATAATTAGCTGGGCTTGGTAGCACACGCCTGTAGTTCCAGCTACTTGGAAGGCTGAGGTGGAAGATTCGCCGGAGCCCAGCAGGTCGAGGCTGCAGTGGCCGGGAGCGGGCACTGCACTCCAGTCTGGGTGACAGAGATTCCAACTCAAAAAAAAAAAAAAAGCTACCACTCAAGGGGACAGATCACACTGCTGTCATGCCAGTATTATGCATACACAGTCGAGTCCCTTCTTATACATATAGAAGTCTGAGATGAGGATGTGGGCAGGGATGTTTCCTTCTGAGGCTTTAAGGCCTCTCTGCAGCTCCTAACGGTGGCCCAATCCTTGGTATTCCGTGGTCTGTAGAATTTTCACCCGACCTTTGCCTCTATCTTCACATGGCGTTCTTCCCATGTGCATGTCTATGTCCAGATATCCCCTTTTTAGAAGGACATGGTCATGTTGGATGAGGGCCCACCCTAATGACCTCAATTTTAACTTGTCCCCAAAAAGGTTGCATTCTGAATTGGGGGATGCAATTTTACTTTAGCACGGTAGTTTCCTTGGGGAGCTGGGAGGGAAGAGGCCCTCACCTGAGTTCTACCATGGCATCCTCTGATCTCTGACTCCCCGTCCTTCAGAGCCGTGTGAAGTATGCTTCCTGTGGTTCCAGCTGCACAGTTGATGGTGTTCTGTCACTACAGCCCAGGCTGACTAAAGCAGTAAGGGAGTGGAACTGGGGGGCTGCCACACAAAAGTGTCTCTCCATGTCAGCAGAAAACCTCCATCTGGGCGGGCGCTGTGTTCAATGCCAAGATTCAAAGTTTTAAGGCACCTTCAATGAGAAGCTTTGGGAGATATTCTAGAAAGCTTGTGAGAGGGTTTGAGGGAAGCAGTGTTTGCTTGCCATTTTAATTAACATGCTGGAGCAGAAAACATGGTTCAAGTTCTGGCAGAAATGGTCAGAAGTGGGTTTTTCTTTTTAAGCTGTCTTCGACGCTCCCTACTTTCTCCTGAGTGGAGAAAGGAAGGTCCATAAACACATTTTCCTCAGAAGTCAGCTGCAGTGTGGACTATGTTGAACCTCCTCACAGAGATTGAAGCTGGGTTGTTGGCCTCTTAGGGCAGATGGCACGTGGGCCTGGCCGTGGGCAGGTTTAGGGGTACAGTCTGTCTGGAAGTGGGGGATGCCGAGATGGGGGTTGGGGGGAGACTCGGGTCCTCCCTGCCTTGGGCTCAAAGTTGAGGCAGATGGGAGGGCGCAGGGGTGCTCCATGGGCCATGTTCTCTTCTCCCTGGGCCTCTGCCCTGGGTCCTCCCTGCCTGGACACTCCTGCTGCCCCAGGCCAGCTCCTCCTGGTCATCAGCCCTGACTCCCTCATCCATGGCCACTCGACAATGAGACATATTTCTGGGCTTGGTTATTCTTCAGTTTGTCGTCTGTGGGCCCCAGAACACAGCTCCTGGAGGACAGTGAGGTCCCCTGAGGTTGTGGCAGTATCACCTGCAACCAGGCTGCCCAGAGCAGCTCAGGGGACACTTTCTGAAGGTGAGCGGGCCCACCTTCTCAGGAGTCTGCTCTCCTCCCTCTCTGAACGGGGTCCTGGCACCATCCTCCACTCCCCACCAGCAGAGCCCTCCAAAAAGCAAGTTTCCCTGCCCCCACCCGGGCCCCAGCACATTCCCTGCAGCCTGTGGTCCTCGCCGCCCACCCCACATCCTCTTCCCTTGTGCCCCCTCCCTGCTCTTCTCTTCCTCTGGGACCACTCTGCTGCTCTTCTGCTGATGCCCTCCAGGTCCCGGCTAGAAGGCGCAGGGTGGGAAAGCCCGGTTGGAAGGGTCCACAGGGACCCAGCAGGGACCAGGTGGGTCTCCTGGAAAGCCCCCTGGCCCACGATACCTAGGTGGCCACATGGACTCCAAACCAGGGTAGCCCCACAGTAACAGGGACCCAGGAGTGCTGCGGCGGTGGGGAGCGTGACCCGAGTGAACATAGTCCCCAAGCGCCACCAGCGCCACCTGGACAAGACGGAGGTGCGGGCGGGCCCCAGGGGCAGGAGAACCTGGAGCGCGGTGGAAGGCAGGTCTTTCTATCAGGCGTGGTGCGAAGGGTGGTCAAAGAGGCCTGGGTGAAGGTCGCGCCAGGACAGTCCCGGGTCGTTCCCGCAAAGGCCTCCCTGCTCGCGGGCGGAGACGGCCATGTCAGCCCCATGGGGACAGCGCGGCGCTGGGGGTCCTGGACCTGCCGGAAGGGCACGGTCAGCACGAGCGAAGACCCTCAGACGGAGCCTCCAGCCCCGGGGCGACCCCTTGCGCTCCTGCCCCACCCCGGGCTGGCCTCAGCACCCACCCGGGAGGCCTCGGGCGGGAGCCGTGGGAGGCATCCGTCTGCGCAGCTGCGAGCCTGGGCACCGCGAGTGCAGACGCCGCGTGTCCGGTGTCGTGAGATCGCGTGCTGAGAGGTCTGGGCGGGAGGCGGCCTGCGGGGCTGGCCAGACCGGCGATCGGGCTGAGACCACCGGTGCCGGTTCTCCACGGCAGCTCCGCTAAACCCGCCCGCCTGGACCCGTGCCCTGCAGGCCACGCCCTTCCCGCCTCTACCGCAAAGCC